CATATACCGAGTTGTTGGAGCCAGTCCTCCAGACTTCCTTTGCCTGAGTAGTGTGGAGGTTCAGCAATTTTGATGCGTGGCTTGTGCGATTGGACTGTGCCGAATGCTTGACCTTGCATCGTAGTGACGCCGCTTGCTTTGAGCGAAGCTAGCTCGTGCCGCAGCTTAACGTTAGCTGCCTTGATCTCCATCATTTCTTTGCCTGTGTCAAGCATCGCTGCCTGGGTTCCCGTGAGCTCGTCATTTAGAACCGCCATATGCGCATCTTGTGCGAGGATCCTATCTTTGAGCTTCCCGATTTCTGTCTGGAGAACTGCCTCCTTAAGTCGGTGTTTGCTCTTGTTGTTTTGGATCTGAGATTCAAAGGCCTTTTTGTGCTCGTACATCTTGTTTCCGAGCACATTGTAGACTTGGCGATTTCGGTAGTGATCGTGAGCTTCATTGCGACGATTACCCATTCGTGTATGTGGTCCGGGACTTCTCCGGGAGCGGACTGTCTGAGGGCATCTTTTAGGTGCTCGAATTGGTGTCCATCAAACTCCCAGATGGGTGGGACATAGGCTGGTACAAGTGATGGTGTCGGGGATGCTGGTCCTCTGACTTGTGATGCAGAATCCTGCGGTCCTAGTGCAGGTTCGGGTGAATTGCGCTGTGAGGCGCGTGGGGTACTTCCGTCGTGTGCTGACTCGACGTTTGTATGAAGAATGTCATCCATTCATTGCCTGAACATGGATGCGTGCACATGATCAGCTGACTCCATTGTGATATAGGTAAACTAATACAAAAAGTGCAAATATCTCGCTTTCGAGATGAAGACCAGAGCCTTGGCAATTTCCTGCAGCCTCTCTTCCTTTCCTATCTGCTTGAAACTGATTCCTCCTATCTCCAGACAGACTTTGTTGATAACCTGTTTCTCGACGAATGTATATGTGCGCGTCCCTGTGTGTAGGTCAGCGCAGACTTTATCGAGCTCTGTGGTGAGGCTAAAGATGGGTCCTTGGTGCTCGTCCTTGAGACGATATGAGAATGCTCCTAATATGGGCTGGAGCCTGAAGCGGGTAGCGTCTACCTGCTTCGTAAGGGTCTCGATGTGGATCATCGGCCTGACTCTGGAAGGGAGTGGGCAGATGAGACGTGCGATGGTGTTTGTCTTTATGAAGTTGGGTAGGGGATGAGTTGGAATGGGAGCAATGACGGGGGGAGGGACTGCGTTGGAGGTGATAAGCTCTGGGGGCGGTGCCGGCTTGCGACTACCAGTGGTAAGATGTCCCTTTCTGAGCTTGTAGCATTCGAGTCGTGGGGTGTGATCGTGTGGCTTGCGGATGATTCCGCACTTTATGATGTGTGTGGTATCTACAACCCTAGCTGCTGCTCGCTGCCTGTCTGTGGACAATGTGCCTAGTGACGCAAGTGTGAGGAGTCTTCCACACTCCTTGTTGGTTTCTTGATGCTTGTAGTGGGCGTCGAGGTCGATCCTGGGGGTGGTCTTGCGCTTTGAGGCTTTGGGCAGCTCAGAGTCTTGCTGAGGCTCACGCCGGGTAGAGATCGGGTTGGAATGTGTGTCAAAAAAGCCGCACGCTACGGCTGAAACTGCTTGCACTGAAAATACGCGGCCACTTGTGTTAGACACTAAGCAGGGGTGCAGAAAATGTCAGATTGTTTCTAATGTCACGGTAACACCGGACAAGAGATCAAAAAGACTAAAAAAAGGGACAGTCACGTGGAATGTGCCGCCCTGATCCCCCTGATCCCAAAGGAATCCCCCTGAACCCTATGTGGTACAAGAGCCTGTTGACTTACTGGTCAATGTGGCAGATGCAGGAAAGGGTGAGAGATATATGAAGGAGCTGGTGAGCTCAGTGGGTGCTACTGGTAGTAAACGAGGAGAAACAATCTGAGGTTTCGTCCCCTACATGGCTGGTCTTATATACACGTACAGCGGGCTATCTTACCTAAGCTACCTATCTACGGGTATAAGCAAATGGCCGTACATGAAACAATAGGATGTCCGGAAGTAGAACAATACAGTAAGTGGGAAGATCGATGGTTGCCGCAGTAATGCGTGTGCACATCGTGCCTATCTTGGTTTCCCTTTTGTTCTCCAGTGTGAACATCGTACCTATCTAGGCTTCTGGCTAAACTAATAGGAAGCGGAAGGCCGACGCATAACAATAGTCCTTGTTCCCTTTGTTCCCAAATGGGTGCCTCTATTGTATCCTGGAATAGACAGGCCCGACCGTATCATCCACGGGTCTGGACCATAACATGTGATGTGGACTATCACCTGATCTCTACGCGTCGCGTCTGTGGCTAAGTGGCGTGAGATATTGGTGAAGCACGTGATCTGTGGTGTGAGAAAAGTCACGTGCGGACTTTGTGGTGAAAATCTGTGACAGGTAACTGGATGGATAAATAATGGTCCGTGGGCACTCGAGGCTTGTGGCATGGAAAAACTGTGACACATCCAGTGTGAGAATACCTTCAGTCTGATCCGGAACCATCAGAGGCGGCCGTTCTCTCACGTAGCCATGTCTTTCTCAGGAATTAAAATCTGGCTGAGTTAGGTCTGAACCAGTCTTATATTTAGTGGGAGATTCTTGCAAAGAGACATCTGTTGTCTCCTCTCCTGGTGAGTTGTTTATGAGGGATTGGTGTTCGCCGTCGATGATGAACATTACGAAGATGTATCTTTGATCTGCCGAGCGGCTCAATGACCCAGAGAAGACATAAGTACTACACGCAAATCCTTCGATCACTGTGTTGCTACTTAAGCCAGGCTAAAACATAACGTTTTTGGTTGAGGAGGGTAACTTACATGACGATTGGCATATGCTAGCAAGAAAGTTCATTGGTGGGTTGACTTACAGTGCCACGCTGCTCCCTTCTTCGTTCAATCTCACCACAATGCAGATATTATATGATGATGTCTCTGTGAAGGAATGCAGTAGCGTTATCATAATGAGACTCACATTGTGCTGGATGCATGACATGATCAATGCTAAATTTTGATTCAAGCAGCAAAATTACATCTTGAGTCATTTGTAATCGATCAATCCACGTTGAATAGGTTTGTGCCAAAGTCTTTGTTAGAGTCTTCATCATCATCCCGCTGTTGCTCCTGCTCAGACCCATCCTCGTTTCACTCCAGATCATCATCTGTTGGCCTCAGTTGCCTTTTCCGTGGTATTCCAAATCTCCCATCCTCCAAAAGGACATATCCATCCCACGATACTGCCAGGACAACTTCTCTGAAAGGTGCGACAATCACATCTTGCAAATTGATGCAGTTTGTGAAGTTGATTTGATGTATTCCCCCATGGAGCCTGCGACGTTCAGTCATCGAATCCAATAAGATCTGGTGAGCTTGGTTTGGTGATGATGAATTGGGCTGGACCATTCCATGGAATCGCACTCTATCCAACGAGAGCATGTGCAGATGAGGGAAAATAAGGCTTTCACCCATTGCGGTAGGTGAATGGTTCAGAAGTTCGCCCACCCATTCAATGGGGAAGGCCTGTATCTGTAAATCTTCCACATTTTGTACATGACCGAGCACTTCAACTTTGTGATACAGTACATTTGATAGTTCCAGCATTTTCAGTTGTGAGAACAATGCACTGCCACAGACGATATTCAGAGTGGAATTGAGCAATGGGAGCTTCACATCCAAAGTATAACGTAGGCCTGTCAGAATTCCTGGTGATAGAAGACCAAGTACATCTCCAGCAGTGGCTAGGATGCGTAGTACACCTGACATCTCCCGAGAGAGCAATGCGGTGCATAGAGGCCCAATTATCTTCTCTTCTAGTATCTCTACTAAATGAGCTGGTTCAGTTGGTTGTAAATTGTCGATATCGATTGCGATGCCCATGTGTGCTGAAAAAGAGATGTGATTAAGAATGGCTGCACAGCACTTTGCACCACATAGTATGAGTCAGATAGACTGCAAATCGGGAAGTTGGATTGTGCCACAGACTCCGATCATGTTTGCTCCTCCTGAAGAAGGGTGGAAGGTAGAGTCTGATAGCGATAATCGATGTATTGTGATTGTCTGCAGCTTCTGCATCTGTTCAAGGGAATGGAGCACATCGACTAGGCTGGGCAAAGGCTGATGGTGGTAGTCCACCTCAAGATGCCTCAGAGATCCGAACGGCACTGACACACCCCAAGGGAACCTGATCACCAAGATTGTGAGCATTTGAAGGCCACACATTTATTCGCCGTCATGCCACGACCTGTTCTTGTCTGTAGGAAGGCCTCAAACTTCTAGCTGTCTCAGGACTGCAGTCGAACGTTTGGACAATTCTGGGTCTACAGCCTGCATGAAATACGACCACACCTGCTCATGAACTTGCAGGCTCCTGATTCTCGGTAACTCTTCTGCAATCATTGCAAGCACCTGTTTCATGTCGTAGTCATTGTATTTCACACGTGTGGTGTCCATTGTTATGTCTAGAGGTGTTGTTCTGGAGTGAAGCAGCATCACAGATAGAAAGCTCAATGGATCAACGAAGACACAGCTCCATAGAACAGGAGTCATGATAGCCATGCTCCGCCAATGAGCACAGACATGTGCGATCACGATCCATGCATAATAGCCAGGTGCTTCAGGTAACGAATCAGGATGCATCGCGGAGCGTCGCTGAATATAGTCATCCACGACAAAGCCAGACGAGTGTTCAAGGAAGATCTTCGCTAATATCTCCATCAGAAGCGTGTATACCAGAGCTAGTGCATTGTATTGAAACTTGAGTGTTCGGATGGCAGAAAGGTGGTCATTGATTTCTGCAAGACGCAATGTCTGGTGTGAAGCACCACTGTTGCTCGATCTATAGAGAGGACATATGAGTTTCATTCAAATGTCACAATATATCAAAATTACAATCGTTCCATGGCTACTATGAGAGACGAGAGAGCAGAAGGCGGGATGCAGCTCCTTAGCCTCAGGAGTCGGCTGTCAACTTTCAAGACTGCAACTAAGCAACGGCTGGGCTTGGATAATTAACTCATCTGGACTATAAGGACATTAATTAGGAGCCTCACACCTGAAGAGGATGTGGTGCTGCAAGAGCTCATTGAGGAAAACTACCACTGATCAAGCCTTACTATCCATGCATGAACGCAGGTGAATGCGCTGGCTGGCATGATTCCAAATTAACAGAATGTGCTGCAGCGGTAGCAGAGACCTGCTTACATCAGCCTTAAGCTGGACAAAACCCCTTTTCTGGTATTTGTTGCTCACAGTTTACGGGCACTTGCTCGATCTCCCTTTTCATGTATTATATAATGCAAGTCCGTACCTTCTCTTTAGCCACAGCTGCCTTGCCTTTCATCCATCCCTGTGAAGCTGTCACAGTATTAGGTGACACCTTTCTTTTTGCACCATTAAAGTCATCATTTGACAACCACAAGTGGTATTCAGACGCCAACCTTCATATTGGTCTCACAAAGTGGATACTTGGATAAACAGCACAATACTGTCACATACATTGTGGATACGACTGTGTCTATCACATAACCACCAAGCGCCCATGATTCAGCCACCCAGTTACATGACACTGGTCACTTGCCCTATTCGAAAGTTATCAGGTGTTGGTCACGTGACACCAGGCCACTTGCCCAGAATGGAACCCTTTAACCCACAATAGGCTCCCTGAAGCTCATTGGACCATCAAGCTAGCAAGCACCCAATTCGCCACTCAGATAGTGACACCACTTTGCTGCCCAGCCAATAGGCAGGCACTACAAGGGATCCCTCTACCAACTGGCATACAGTATAGCCAGGTACAGGATAGGCTGGATCTTCCCACAAACTTATCCAGATGAAGACTGATCATCTCACCCATTGTTCTGAGTTTGGACAGATCCTCTCACCTGAGATTACAATCATTGTGATGTGCCTTGTTGGCCATCACCCACTGGCCCCTCAACAGTGGGCCCACTTTCTGGCAATTGTCTCATTGGATTAGATAGGATTACCTCGGCGTATCTACGGCCTTTGTAGATAGTTGCCATAGTTGCTGCCAGAGCCCTTACTGGTTCTGGCATAATATTCTCACATGTAGTTTGCTAGGACCTCAGTAGGTACACCAAAGATAGAGTGATCAGGAACCAGCCCTACATGTGCTGCGAATGCCCGGAGGGAGCAATCCGAGAGCACCCAGTGAAGTCGTTGTGGCTGATGCCACATTATGTAATATTCCAAATATGTACTTAGTTATAAAGTAATCCTAATTAGAGAGCTCGGCATATAAGCCCGAGCTCTCCTTGCCCCACACCATCATCCGCTCATTCATCCTCCCAGATTCTGGTGAACACTACAGATTATGAGCCCCGGCAGTGCTGTATAAATGCATAATACAGCTATCTGAGTCTACTAGTGAAAAATCTACGAGATATATATAAAAGTGCGGAATTACCCCTATGCCGAAAAACACTGACCATGCAGATTCTCACAATCTGTACTGCATGCCATACCTCATGGAGGACAATTGGCTTCTGTAAAAGAGGCGTGTGCAACATGTATGGAAGAGGAAGTGTCTTACCAAATATGTGATCGGTGAGATCCCGATTCCGCAGCCCCTGCCAGATATAGTGATGGCAGAAGAGAAGGCAGCGAGGGAAGCTGAGATCGCAGATTGAGAAGACAAAGATAGTGAAGCAGCAGAGGTCATGTTGATGTCCATGGCCGACGATCAGCTCATTCATGTGAGCGAGTCAGGGACATCACATGAGATTTGGAAGAGTCTTAGGATCGTGAAGGAGAAGCCAGGCCATCATGGCCTTCTGGTGCACCAGCATACATTATATCAATCTCGAGCTCCAGATGACAAGGACATGGATGACTGGTTGAAGGAACTGTGTTAGCTTCAGGAGGAGCTCCACCAGATGGGAAAGCTCATTCTGGACGACGAGTTCATTTCAATTATCCTCATGTTGCTACCGGAATCCTGGGATTCATTCACGAATTTCTATTTCAGAGCAGCAGGAGGGCAGTCACAGTCTGGCAATGGAACTCAGATTACGTCACAAGATCTCATCGCAGTCATTCGCGATGAGAACTGCCACTGAAAAAGCTGAGATGCCGAGCAGGTTGTCACAGGCACATCGCAGACTCAAGCCCTCTTCACCCAGAATGCAGAGCAGAAGAAGAGCAAGGGCGTGATGAGACCATGTGGCATCTGCAGTCAGAAGAATCACATCATGCGAGATTGTAAATTCTGTAGGCACCCCGAGATGAAGTGCGGAGACTGCAGGAAATGGGGGCACAAGACCTTGGAGTGCTACACCCCCAGAGGAATCTTATCTGATAAGGCACGAGATGAGCCGTCGAAAAAGAAGTCGAAGTTCGAAGTACGTGAGCGCAATGATCTGCAGATCACTGGATCAAGCCACGCCAAGAGAGATTAGGCGAGAATTGCAGAAAATGATGACAAAAACTGTGTATCATTAGGTTCAGAAGATTCAGATGCTTCATTTTGTGGTTGGTTTGTGTCACGGCGCATTAGATCCTGTGCTCTAAAGCAAGGAAATGGCAGCAAGGTGCTTGCCAGCATCCAGTGACCTGCACAAAAATGGGGTTTGCCCAGGTAGGGTCAAACCAGGCATGCAGTGACATGCAGCCTAAAAAAGGGGCTTAAAGGGCCCTTAGCCTTATGCTCACAACAAGGGGGTGAATTGGCTGTTAGGCCGCATGAAATAGGTGAATGAATCTAAGGTCTTCCCTTAGATCCTCGTGTGACTATATACATGTAGTGGTGGACCCTGGGTACCCTAACTATGGTGTACTTACTGGGGTCCTGTCCTGTCTACATGTGAACATATTACCAAAATCAGTAATGGTTCTGGACTTTGCTATAGCAACTATCTATAAAGGCCGTGGATACACCAAGATAATCCTACTTTACCCAATGAGATAATTGCCTGAAGGTGGTGCCACTATTTGAGTAGCTGAAGTGGTGCCACTTATTGAGTGGCTAATGGAGGTTCTGCCATAGTGCATATTCTAATGCTGGTGCTACTATTTGGCAGCCATGTAGTTGATGCTGCTATTGAGCAGCGAATTGGGTGCTTGCTAGCATGATGGTCCAATGAGCACGGATAAGCCTATTGTGGGCCAAAGAGTTCCATTCTGGGCAAGTGGCCTGGTGTCATGTGACCAACACCTGATAACTTCCGAATAGGGCAAGTGGCCAGTGTCACATGACTGGGTGGCTGGATCATGGGCACTTGATGGTCATGTGGTAGACACAGTCATATCTGCGATGTATGTGGTGATATTGTGCTGTTTGTCTAAGCATTCACTTTGTGAGATAAATATGAAAATTAGTGTCTGAATAACCACTTGTGGTTGCCAAATGATGACTTTATTGGTGCAAAAAGAAAGGTGCCACTTAATACTGTGACACCGTTGGCTTGAGGAGGAGTGTTGGGAATGCCCGGAGGGAGCAATCTGAGAGCACCCAGTGAAGTCGTTGTGGCTGACACCACATTACATAATATTCCAAATATGTACTTATATATAAAGTAATCCTAATTAGGGAGCTCGGCATATAAGCCCAAGCTCTCCTTGCCCCACACCATCATCCGCTCGCTCGTCCTCCCAGATTTTGGCAAACGCTACATCTTCATCATTGGCAAAATTGGCATCAGACTATCCCTCGAATTTACATTGTTCGAGGTATGATTTCCCTTCTTTGGGACCATATAGTATTCCGACATCTTGTGTGCCAGATAAATATCTGAGAATGCGCTTTGCGGCTGTCCAATGTGCCATGCCAGGATTGGCAGTAAAAGAGCTTAAGTGTTGTACTACATAAGCAATATCTGGGCGCATTGCCACAGCAGCATACATTAGAGATCCAATGAGTGATGCATATCCGTTGCTACAGTTTTGCACATCATCGATCCCAATTTCCTCCTTCTCGAGGGGAATATTTGGATCAAGAGGCATGCCTACCGCATTTGAGTTCACTTACCCTTCTTTTTGCAGGATAGAAACAATATATTTATTTTGAGTGATTTTAATCGTGCGCTTTGCACGATCTCACTCAATTTCTATTCTGATGATCTTCTTTGAATCACCAAGGTCAGTGACTTCAAACATGGTCTAAAGTTCATGCTTCAGATGACCCATAATATTAGGATCATTGGTGAATATTAGTAGATCGTCTACCCATATGGTAACGATTTCTACTTTTCCACCTCTGATCTGAATATATGTGCAAGGATCTGAGAATAATCGCCTAAAACCCGCATTTATTAGCTCATGGTTAAGTTGAATATTCCACTCATGCCCAGCTTGTTTGAGTCCATAGAGGGTCTTGTGTAATCTGCATACACGATGTGTCTGGTCTGCATACCCTTCAGGCTGGTGCATATAAATCTCCTCTTTCAGGATTCCATTTAGATAGGTGCCTTTGACGTCCATCTGTTGGATTTCCC